ACAAATTTGGAATCAAATTTTGCCTAGCATCTGACATCAACACCAAATTTGTTGTAAACGGATTGCCATATTTAGGACGGGATGAAACAAGACCGGCTGAGTCAATTTGATACGACTGAGTGAATTTGTTGTCCTGAAATTGGCCGAATCTTTCACTAAATCTGGAAGGAATATTACAACAGACAATTTTTTCACTACTGCATCATTGGCTACAAAATTGTTGGCAAAACGGACGACACTAGTCCGTTTGTCCTGCAACGATACGTTGATACGAACAGAAGTGAATTGCTCACACTTACAAAAACGAAAGATAATTTGGAATTTTTCTCGATAATAGTATACAATATATACAAATATAATAGTATAAAATATATACAAATCAAATGACTGTACGCTGACAATTTATAAATCAAAACCAACAAAAAAAGTTACGATACTAAGTTCGAAACATAAATGCGTCAAAATCAAAAACAATAGAAAGCGAACACCAGAAACAATCAGTTATTATAATAAGACTAAATTTGGCGTCGATGTGATTGACCAAATGGCGCGAAAATACAGCGTCAAATCTAAATGCAATATATGGCCTGTGTACGTATTTTTCAATATCCTGGATTTAGCTGGAATCAATGTATGGATACTCTATCGGGAAACAACTGGAATGAAAATATCAAGACAGCGTTTCCTGTTACAATTAACAGATGAATTAGTCACGGAGTATCACGAATTTCTTGAAGAAGGAAAGGAAAACCTACAACAAGAAACATCAAGCAGCCCAAGCAATATTTTACAATCACGAAGAAAATGTCAAATAAGATTGTGCACGGGTAATAAAACCATTCAAACTTGCATAATTTGCAAAAAATTTGTCTGCGGAAAATGTATAAACGAGAAACCAATCATATGTAAAAAGTGCAATTAATTGGTTTTTTTTTTTATTTAAATAAAAATACATTTTTAAGTATTTTACTAGAAATCAGAAGTTATGTTGCAAATTATTTCCTTTAATAAATTAAGAATTTTTTTCTAAAAATCAACGTTTATTCATAAGGAGTCAAATGACTCCTTATGGTAAGATAGGTACATATAAAATGCGGTACGTTTAGTGCTATATCAGAAAGAAGTCTATCTATGTTTTACGGATTTACCACAACTTTTTTAAATATATAATAAGTTAAAATTTTTAATATTTAATATTTAATATTTATTTTAAGTTTAAATTGTTAATATTTTTTTATATAATAAGTTAAAATTATTAATACATTAATACATGCTTTTATGTATAAATTTTCAACTGACAAAATTTTCAAATTTTATGTATTTTATTATATAGAACAATTTTAATATTAAAATATTAAAACTATTATATTTCCACATTTACATATTCTTTACATTACATGTTCAACTTTATGTTAAATTTTTAACAATTTTATTATAACTATGCAGTGCATTGGTTATAACAAATAACATAAATTCTATAATCCATTAGTTAAAAATTACGCTTATTAATCAAAATATTATTCGAAATTATATTTTTGGAAATCAAGGGATAGAAGGGAAACGTATATTTTATAATTTCACAGAACTATTGGAACAAGATAGATTCTTCACGAGGTGTTTCTTGACATAAAAATATGTATACTATATTTCTCTGATTTGTACTTTAGTCCTTGGTCGAATCCGCAGACGATTTATAGCGTGACAAATTCCTAACAAAGTATATAAAGGAACATAGGCTTCAGATTTCCTATTTAAAACAGACTTGTTGAAGTGCATTCTAAGAGGATTTTATTATGTCTCACGCTGTTTTATTTGTCAAAAAATGAAAATATGAAAAACATAATATTTTAAACTTAACATCAGGAAAAGGATTTTTAACAATTCTTTAATTTCTTTTATTATTCGTCAATCATTTAATTTCTTTTATTATTACTTTTATTATTACAAAATTTCTTATTCCTTGAAATATATATATATTCATTTATTTTTTATAGAACAGTATAACAAATAAATAAACAATACAAATTTTCTTATATATCTTATTTAAAAGTTTTTCTTTTTCAATTTGATTGTTTATCAAATATTTGAAGACAATTCAACTTTTATTAATTAAAAAATAACTCATTTTTCGCTCTAACCCTTAATATAGACAAATTTTCACGAATTATGCCTAATTTTTTCCAAAACAATTTCATGAAACTTGACCAATTTTAAACAAAAGAAGTAGAAAAAGTGACACTATGTTATACGCAGCATGCCTTTTTGTTAGTTTTCCTATTATTTCATAACGCAGTGATATGAATGAAAGAATAGAAATAGAAGCACTGACAATGAATGAAATAACAGTACGTCCATGTCATCAATAATACGTCATATTAGTTTTAATATTTATTATTATACTTTTGTAACTGTTTTTAAATGCAATATTTATATTTATATATGGCAACCATGTAAGACTTTTAGGTAAAACGTTCTTGGCAACTATGCTTTCGTCAGGAAAATCGAAACTTGCCTGTGTCCCTTTAACTCGCTTTTCTTTTTTCATTATGTACAATAGCGATGGCAAAGTGGGTAAAAGTATAGACTCCCTCACCGATTTCGGTGATTTTTGAATGTATTGTGAAAATATTTTTTCCTATAACGGATATGTTGGACTTCATTCGTTAGAGGAAAGAGTCGTTCAGGGTATCGATCTCTAAATGATATTTAAGGATCGTCGAAATCAGTGAAGGAAGTTAATCACCGGCGGAAAATGGAGGAAAACACAAATGAGAAATGTTCCAAACTTATGAAATGTTAATACTAACATATATATATCATTAAGTTACTCATATTTTATATTATTTTTATTTTATAACAAT